ACCAAAGCAAAATGGGGTCACTCATGCTAAGGTTCCAATCACCAAATTGAAATTGTTATTCAACCTTCTGAGAAATCAGGAGAGAGAGATGACAGCTGCAATACTCAGACAGGTCAGTTTTAGCCAGCATGATAAGGAAGTACCCTCTGCTTTAATTCTTACAAAGAAGGTAACCTGAAGTAACCTTATGTTCACCAATCTGTTTTTTCTTTTGTATTATGCTATTTCCTTGTTCCTGTTCAAGGTAACTTGTGAAAACTGAATGTTCTGCCATGCCCAATAGAGTGCATTTTCTCTTTTTTTTTTTTGAGACAGAGTCTCACTCTGTTAACAAGCTGGAGTACAGTGGATTGATCTCGGCTCACTTCAATCTCCGACTCCCTGGTTCAAGCAATTCTCCTGCCTCAGCCTCCTGAGTAGCTGGGACTACGGACATGTGTCACCATGCCCAGCTAATTTTTGTGTTTTTATTAGAGACAGAATTTCACCATGTTGGCCAGGATGGTTTCAATTTCCTGACCTCATGATCTGCATGCCTTGGCTTCCCAAAGGGGTGGGATTATAGGCATGAGCCACTGTGCCCGGCCTGTAGTGCCTTTTCTAAATCATTAGATGAGATGGTGCCCAATTCATGAATCACTAATGAAAGTCAATTAGATCTTTTAACTAAATTTGTTGAAATTAAAAAAAAAAAAAAAAGATTTTAGAGGTGAAGAGAGTGAGGCTCAAGGGAATCAGGTAATTCATCTAAGCAGCTGCACCAGAGAAAAAATAGGTCTTTGGTCTCCTGATTCCCAAGGCTGGAAATTTCGGTTTGTCTTTCTATTTTGTCACCCTTTTGAAGTTAGTATTTAAGAATCACTGCAATATATCTGCTAACATAATATATTTATAAAATACATGAATTGTATTTCTGATACATTTTTCTATTCACAATGCTTAGTATCTAAAAACCCTGAATAATAGAAAGGAAATCTGTTTCAGGTGGTATTAATAGTATATCAAAGAGAAAGTAACGGAATTAGATCATGTTAGCATCATTTTCCTTTTACGAAATCTGGCTACTGCCCCCTCGTGCTAATAATATGTAATTACACTTCATGAAAGTTGTATTCAACATTTAGGTTTGAGTCAAATGTTGATAGAAATTAAACTTGTTGCCTTCCAAACATCTATGCACGTTATCTGGATAGGAAACATAAAGTTACAATCCAGAGTCCACCTAGGCAGACCAATGGGTAGCAGAATGACTTCCCCTTTTAATAGAAAGTAATCCATTTCTAAGAAACCATCACAGGCAATTTGGTACAATTGAACTTTGTCTTTAACCTTTTACTGTGATTTATGTGATTAGGCCAATGGAGGAAGTGGTTTTCAACAGCATGATTAAAACACTTTGAGAAAATAATTTCTGTCTTCAAGCACCTTGCATGAGTTTTTTTTTTTTTTTTTCAAGTGTTTGTCCTTTCTCATCAACAGGAGAGTCAGGAAATGGAGAAATATTGATTTTTAAACATTGTCTTGGACAGAAATGAAAGACCATAAAACAGCAGGGTCAAAGCCAGGATGCTGGTCTTTCGCTGACCTGTGCAGCATGCTTTTGCCTGATGAACAGCAGGACTAGCGATGTACTAATTCAGTATTTTCCAGATGTAAGAATTTTACCAATCTATCAGGGATTTTTCAATTTTACTAAGCAAGGATTTATTTAAAAATCAACAACATTGTGACTACCATCTACTAAGAACCAATTTTATAAAATAAGGGCCATTTTAATATCAGAAAAGTAGGAAGGACACAGTTTTATAATAATGGACAATTTTATCCAACAAAATACTGTTGTTATGTTTGACTTTGGTTTTCTCATTCTGCCAGGTGGTAAAACTGGGCAATGGACCAGGTTTAGTGCTCCCTATTGAAATGACCTGCTCAAGTTCAGACTAATTTTAGGCCGAAAATATTCCACTCTGCTTCTGCATTTGCCACTGTGCTTCAGATTATGTGCAGAGGCTCCTTAATAGTCTTCAACATGAATGAAATTTATCGGCAATATATATTCTACAACATTTTTGGGAGTAAGGAGGGTGGGTGTAAGAATTCAGCTAACTATAGCAAGTTTTGCAAATCCCAAAATTTTGGGTCATGATTCTGAACTCTGCCTGTCCTTTGTCATTTTCTTTTGAGAAGCAGGCTCATGCCACTGCCCCACAGTACTTTACATCTCAACAAAAAGAAACAGAAGGTATTTTTTTTTTCTGGAGAGAGTAAGTTGTGGGTGACCTATCTGAGTTCACTGCTTAGCGAACAGTGATTAACATTTAAAATGTATGCAAACTAGACTCCTAATTAAAGTCCAATAATGTAGGACTTTGAACCTATTCACTGCCTTTGGAAATAATCATAGATGCTGGCTGCTTATCATGAAAAAGTCATTATGGTAAATGACCAACTCCCCCACCTTCTCCTTTCCATCAACTGCAAAAGTGATTCTCCATTGCAAAGATTTGCAAATGGTGCATGTTGCAGTCACATGTCTCCTGGTAGCTATAATTGTTATGCAAATTTTCTTGGCTCAGGAATTATAAAATTTACAGAGCTCCTGTTATATGCGAATTTGCAAGTATAAACTGAATCCAGGGTGAGTGGACACTGGCGTTGATCTGAGAGTTCATCAAGAACTCTCAATGGCAGTTTGGACAAGGCAGTGATAAAGGGGAGTGCACCTTCCTCCCATTCTTTATTCTTCCTTCTTTGCTTTGCTGACTCCTTGCGGGTAAGTAGATAGGAAGCACAGAGAGGGAATCAAAAACAGTAATGGAATCCAAAGTAGGTTGGAGGACAGAAATATTCAGAAACCAAATACTAGTTGCAGATTGAAAAATTGAAGTGAGTTTGTCAAAGGTAGAGAGAGAATCCAGATGACAAAGACAGTCTCAGTGGAGATAAAAGGGAACTGTGAGAATGAACATTTATTGTTCCCCTGGGAAGTGCCAGAGACTCTTGTACATAGGCTACATATTTCATCATTGACCTATATAATAGCCTGGTAAAGTAGGTCGTGTTTTCTTACAGGTGAGGAGCCTGAGGTTCCCAGAGGCTTGTGTACATGAGTGAGGTTCTCATGTCTCAGGGCTAAACTTCACCTCAAATATATCTGATATGAAAACTTTCCCATCTCCAGATTTCCTTTCAAAATTACTCAGTAATGTACCTGTTGAAATTAACTTCCAGGAAACACGATTTCAGAGCAGTGCTTTCACTGTCTTATTTCCCTGGACTTCAGTGACACAGAGATGATGTGGCTTAAATGGCTGTTTATTGCCTAAGCAGTTGCTGACATGATCAGCGCTCCATGGTCCTTGAATGGAATGCAACGGAATATACGGCTACAAAAGGGATCTGGGAGCTCTTCAGTGTGGTTCATCGAGACCTCTCACTGTGTTATGTGGGTAATTTAATGTCTACTAAGGAAACATTGAAATGTGATAGCAAATGATCATTTTCACCTTTAGGAAATCATTCATTTGATGGGGACATTTAAGGAATTTGTGTTATTCTTTGAAGACTTGTAAACAGAAAAAAGGTGATTATGAGCTATGAGACAAGAAGATTTCCTCTCTTCTCTTGTCCATCTCTCTGGTCTGGGAGTCTTTCCCAAATATTTGTGAGGTCCAGGACAAGGATGCAAACAGAGGCCTAGATGTTATTTACGTTATACATTCAGGCTCCACAAATAATTACCCTCTGTCTCTCCATCTCAGGACGAGGGCTGTGCACTCTGTTGGTACAGTTTGTACTCTAGAGGACGGACCTGGGAAGGAAAACTGTACAGGGCCTAGAAGTTATTTGAGGGCATTATGGGGAAAGGATTCTACGGTCTTGGACCACAGAGGTTGCTTACAGGGGAGTGAGGGTTCTGGGTTGATGTGTCCTATTGGCCACGCAGACTTCTCATCCCAGGGGAAGCTCTGTGGCTGGAGAAAGATGACAGCTTGGAGGCATGCACAGATGCGCGCATATAGACACATGCTTAACCAAACTGCAGATCACCTGTAATTTTTCCCCTGGGGTAACCTGACAGAGCAGAGACTTAGTTCTTTATTTTCTCTAGCTCTCACCATAGTGATGATTCCTTTTCAAAATGGTATAAGTTAAGTAAAATAAATATTCTTGCTTTTCTTCCAACTTTTATTTTAGGTTGGAGGTTGTATGTGCAGGTTTGTTACATGGGTAAATTGCCTGTGGCTGAGGTTTGGTATAATTGTTTTCTTTTCTTTTTTTTTTTTTGAGACAGAGTTTCACTCTTGTTACCCAGGCTGCAGTGCAATGGCATGATCTCGGCTCACTGCAGCCTCCGCCTCCTGGGTTCAGGCAATTCTCCTGCCTCAGCCTCCCGAGTAGCTGGGACCACAGGCACACACCACCATGCCCAGCTAATTTTTGTATTTTTAGTAGAGACGGGGTTTCACCATGTTGACCAGGATGGTCTTGATCTCTTGACCTCATGATCCACCCACCTCAGCCTCCCAAAGTACTGGGATTACAGGCTTGAGCCACTGCGCCCGGCTGGTATAATTGTTTTCATCACCCAGGTAGTGAGCCTGATCCTAATAGGGAACTTTTTGATCTTCATCCTCTTTCCATCCTCTATGCTCAAGTAGGTTTTGGTGTCTTTTTTTCCCCTCTTTATATTGCACTCAAATTGTTTAGCTCCCACTTATAAGTGAGAATATGTGGTATTTGGTTTTCTGCATTATTTCACTTAGGATAATGGCCTCCAACTACATCCATGTTGCTGTGAAAGACATGATTTCATTCTTGTAGCTTCATAGTATTCCATGGTGCGTATATACCATATTTTCTTTATTCCATCTACCATTGATGGGCATCTAGGTTGATTCATGCCCTTGCTATTTTGAAAAGTACTGCAGTCAACATACACATGTATGCGTCTTTTTCTTTTGTTTTGTCTTTTTTGAGACCCTGTCTCACTCTGTTACTAGGCTGAAGTGCAGTGGTGTGATCTGAGCTCACTACAGCCTTGACCTCCTGGACTCAAATGATTGTCCCACCTCTGCCTCCCAAGTAGCTGGAACTACAGGCATACACCGCTGTGCCCAGGTAATTTTAAAATTTATTATTATTATTATTATTTTTTTTTTAATGGAGACTGGGTTTTATTATGTTGTCCAGGCTGGTAACATGCATGCATCTTTATGGTAAAATGGTAGACTTACATTCTGTTGGGTACATACCTAGTAATGATATTGCTGGGTTTAATAATAGTTCTGTTTTAAGTTCTTTGAGAAATCTCCAAACTACTTTCACATTGGCTGAAGTAATTTATATTCCCACCAGCAGTGTATAAGCATTTCCTTTTCTCTGCCACTTCACCAACATTTGTTTTTTGACTTTTTAATAATAGCTATTCTGACCATGCCTAGCTAATTTTTGAATTTCTTTTCATAGAGATATGGTTTCACCATGTTGCTCAGGCTGGTCTCAAACTCCTGGGCTCAAGTGATCCTCCTTCCTTGGCCTTTCCAAGTGCTGGGATTACAGGCATGAGCCACCACACCTGGCCACTAACTGTATGTTTTCAAGAGATCTTCTTGGTATTGATTTTTATTCTTACTGTGCTGTGGTCTGAGAGTGCAGTTGATTTGATTTTATTGTTTTTAAATTTGTTGAGAATGACTTTATGGCTGAGCATGTGGTTGATCTCAGATTATGTGCCATGTACAGGTGAGAAGAATGTGTTGCCTAGTGTTGTTGGGTGGAGAATTCCATAGATGTCTGTTAGGTCCATTTGGTCAGGTATCAAGATTAGATCCTGAATATCTTTGTTAGTTTTCTGCCTTGATGATCTGTCTAACACTGTCAGTGGGGTATTGAAGTTTCCCACTATTAATTGTAATTATCTACAAACTTATATAGGTCTCTAAAAGCTTGTTTTATGAATCTGGGTGCCCCAGTGTTAGGTGCAAAAATATTAAGATAGTTAAGTCTTCTTGTTGAATTGAACCCTTTTTCATTATGTAATGAATGTCCTTCTTTGTTCTTTTTGGTCATTGTTGGTTTAAAGTCTGTTTTGTCTGAAATAAGAATAGCAGCCCCTGCTTTTTTGTTTGCCATATGCTTGATAGATCTTTTTCTGTCTCTTTACTTTGAGTCTATGGTGTCATTGCATGTGACATGGTCTCTTGAGGACAGCATACAGTGGGTCTTGTTTCTTTATCCAGCTTGCTACTCTGTGCCTTTTAAGTAGAGGCATTTAGCCCACTTATGCGTAAGGTTAATATTGATATGTGCAGATTTGATGTTGTCATTGTGTTGTTAGCTAGGTCTATGTAAGTAGTCTTGATTGTATAGTTGCTTTATAGTGTCAGTGAACTGTTTACATAAGTGTGTTTTTGTGGTAACAAGTTTTAGTCTTTTGTTTCTGTGTTTAGTACTTTCCTAAGGACTTCTTGTAAGGCAGGTCTGGCGGTAACAAATTCTCTTAGAATTTGCTTGTGTGAAAAAGATTTTATTTCTCCTTTGTTTATGAAGCTTAGTTTGGCTGGATATGAAATTTTGGTTTAAATTTCTGTTTTTGAGGATGTTGAATATGGACCCCTTATTTCTTCTGGCTTGTGAGGTTCCTGCTGAAGGGTTCACTGTTCACCTGATAGGGTTCTCTTTGTAGGTGACCCGGCCCTCCTGTCTAGTTGCCTTCAATATGTTTTCTTTTGTGTTGACCTTGGAGAATCTAATGACTAAAATAAATTTTCTGTTATCACGTTGAGATTATAGAGTTTCTGTTTTGTTCATCTTTTGCTGTTTTTCTACATCTTTTCTTTTTTTCACCTGTTAGTTGTTTCACTTCTCTATTTAGGGACAAAAGTGGACAAAAATGTTTGCTTCTTACTTTGGGCTTATATCATAGAACCTTACATTATAATCCTAATACTTTAAAATTATAGGTTGAATAATATGTTAATATTATAAAAATGAGACCCAGGTGACTGGCAAGATGGCTGAATAGGAACAGCTCTGATCTGCAGCTCCCAGCAAAATCAATGCAGAAGGTGGGTGATTTCTGTATTTTCAACTGAGGTACCTGGCTCATTTCACTGGGACTAGTTAGACAGTGGGTACAGCCCACAGAGGGTGAGCAGAAGCAGGGTGGGGCATTGCTTCGCCCAGGAAGTGCAAAGGGTTGGGAAACTCCCTCCCCTAGCCAAGGGAAGAAGCAGTGAGGGACTGTGAGGAATGGTGCATTCCAGCCCAGATACTATGCTTTTCCTACAGTCTTTATAACCTGCAGACCTGGAGATTCCCCCGGGTGCCTACACCACCAGGGCCCTGGGTTTCAAGCACAAAACTGAGCTGGCTGCAGGAGTTCTTTTTCATACCCCAGTGGTTACTGGAATGCCAGTGAGACAGAACTGTTCACTTCCCTGGAAAGGGGACTGAAGCCAGGGAGCCAAGTGGGCTAGCTCAGCAGATCCCACCCATGGAGCCCAGCAAGCTAGGATCCACTGGCTTGAAATTCTTGCTGCCAGTGCAGCAGTCTGAAGTTGACCTGGGACACCTGAGCTTGGCAGGGGAGGGGCTCCCACCATTACTGAGGCTTAAGTAGGTGATTTTCCCCTCACAGTGGAAACAAAGCCGCCAGGACTTTTGAACTGGGTGGAGCCCACTGCAGCTCAGCACAGCTGCCGTTAGCCAGACTGCCTTTCTAGCTTCCTCCTTTCCGGGCAGGGCATATCTGAAAGAAAGGCAGTAGCACCAGTCAGGGTCTTACAGATCAAACTCCCATCTCCCTGGGACAGAGGACCTGGGAGAAGGGGTGGCTATGGGTATAGCTTCAGCAGACTTAAACATTCCTGCCTGCTGGCTCTGAAGAAGGCAGTGGATCTCCCAGCACAGCACTTAAGCCCTGCTAAGGGACAGATAGCCTCCTCAAGTGGGTACCTTACCCCCATGCCTCTTGATGGGGATACACCTCCCAGCAGGTGTTGATGAATACCTCATGCAGGAGAGCTCCAGCTGGCGTCTGGTGGGTGCTGCTCTGGGACAAAGCTTCCAGAAGAAGGAACAGGCAGCAATCTTTGCTGATCTGCAGCCTCTGCTGGTGATCCAGGCAAACAGGGTCTGGAGTGAACCTCCAGCAAACTCCAGCAGACCTGCAATGGAGGGGCCTGACTGTTAGAAGAAAAACTAACAAACAGAAAGGAATAGCATCAACATCAACTAAAAGGATGTCCACACAAAAACCCCATCCAAAGGTCACCAACATCAAAGACCAAAGGTCACCAACATCAAAGACCAAATCCATACAGATGAGGAAAAACCAGCACAGAAAGGCTGAAAATTCCAAAATCAGAATGCCTATTCTCCTCCAAAGGATCACAGCTCCTCACCAGCAAGGAAACAATACTGAATGGAGAATGAGTTTGACAAATTGACAGAGGTAGGCTTTAGAAGGTAATTACAAACTACTCTGAGATAAAGGAGCATGTTCTAACCCAATGCAAGGATGCTAAGAACCTTAAAAAAGTTAGATGAATTGTCTACTAGAATAACCAGTTTAGAGAAGAACATAAATGACCTGATTGAGCTGAAAGACACAGCACGAGAACTCTGTGAAGCATACACAAGTATCAATACCCAATTGATCAAGTGGAAGAAAGGATATCAGATATTGAAGATCAACTTAATGAAATAAGGTGTGAAGACAAGACTAAAAAAAGAATGGAAAGGAATGAACAAAGCCTCCAAGAAATATGGTACGATATGAAAAGACCAAATGTACATTTGATCGGTCTACCTGAAGGTGATGGGGTGAATGGAACCAAGTTGGAAATCACTCTTCAAGATATTATCCAGGAGAACCTCCCCGACCTAGGTTGACAGGCCAACATTCAAATGTTGAAACACAGAGGACACCATAAAGATACTCCTCAAGATGTGCAACCTCAAGACACATAATCATAATCATCAGATTCACCAAGGTTGAAATGAAGGAAAAAATGTTGAGTGCAGCCAGTTGGGAAAACTGGCTAGCCATATGCAGAAAACTGAAACTGGTCCTCTTCCTTACACCTTATACAAAAATTAATTCAAGATGGATTAAAGACTTAAATGTAAGACCTAAAGCCATAAAAACCCTGGAAGAGAACTGCAATACCATTCAGGACATAGACATGGGCAAAGCCTTCATGACTAAAACACCAAACAGCCAAAATTGACAAAAGCCAAAATTGACACATGGGACCTGATTAAACTGAAGAGCTTCTGCACAACAAAAAAACTATCAGAGTGAACAGGCAACCTACGGAATGGGAGAAAATGTTTGCAATCTATCCATCCGACAAAGGGCTAATATCCAGAATCTACAAGGAGCTTAAACAAATTTACAAGAAAAAAACAGCCCCATCAAAAAGTGGTGAAGGATATGAATAGACACTTCTCAAAAGAAGACATTATGTGCAGCCAACAAACATGAAAAAAATCTCATCCTCACTGGTCATTAGAGAAGTGCAAATCAAAACCACAATGAGATACCATCTCATGCCAATTAGAACGCAGTTATTTAAAAGTCAGGAAACAACAGATGCTGGAGAGGATGTGGAGAAATAGGAATGCTTTTACACTGTTGGTGGGAGTATAAATTAGTTTAACCATTGTGAAAGACAGTGTGGTGATTTCTCAAGGATCTAGAACCAGAGACACCATTTGACCCAGCAATGCCATTACTGGGTATAAACCCAAAAAGATTATAAATCATTCTACTGTAAAGACACATGCACATGTATGTTTATGTCAGCACTACTGACATTAGCAAAGACTTGAAACCTACACAAATGCCTATTAATGATAGTCTGAATAAAGAAAATGTGGCACATATACACCAGGGAATACTATGCTGCCATAAAAAAGAATGAGTTCATGTCCTTTGCAGGGACATGGATGAAGCTGCAAACCATCATTCTCTGCAGACTAACACAGGAACAGAAAACCAAACACTGCATGTTCTCACTCATAAGTAGGAGTTGAACAATGAGAACACATGGGCACAGGGAGGGGAACATCACATGCCAGGGTCTGTCAGGGTGCGGGGGGATCGGGGAAAG